GGAATCGAACAATTTAAACTGACTTGTCGGAGTATGAAAACTACAAGTATCGCGTGTAGCTCAAACGATTATAATAATATATTGGTTATATTTGATTCCAACAACTATAGGCATCATGTTATAAGGAACACAAAATATCTCGACCAATAACATTCAAGGACAATCGTGTTTACTTACTACTAGTTACTACTACTATTATTGTCTATTATTATGAATTAAAACAACTAAATATAATTTTATTTTAGCTTCAACAAATGAATTGCTCAATTACACATGTTATAACTGCAAAAAATTAATTCCATGATCACGATCAAAAACAGTTAAAACAATATATTTAAACTTTCAATGATCTCAACGTACGGGCTTCGAACGTTCCTAGTTTGCGCAAATTTCCTAAAATTACGACTCATTTGCGCACATTTTTACAACGTGTTTGCGCATAAATTATATCTCGTTAGCGCACAGATTACACTCTCTAGATACATTCTCATTTCTCATTATTAAAATGCCTACCTATAGAAAGCTTCAGCCACGTTCGTTGTGTTGGTTTCACAGCCCGCAGGAATGAATTGAAGTTTAAATTATACCTAGGTATATACGTAAAATATATGATGCAAAAACATAATCAGAGAAGTATAATCCCATTAGGTAGAGCTATTCAATTTGCAAAATATAGTATCTTTATTTCTTCTGGTGGCAAATATACACCGAACCGAAAAAACATTTAAAGCACTTACCAACCTTGGACAGTTATTATTTGTTTACTAATTTGTACTCGACATAACCAATAGGTTGTGTTAAATGCAATGCAGGCACAACATACAATATTTTTACATCGAGGAAAAACCTTTAAAATTGAGTTATATTAGCATTTTTATCATAGTCGAAATGGATTTATAGATATTTAGATATATACGTTTATATATATTACGTTATATATATGTTACACATATAGTTGTGTGCGCTGAAGTAGGTTAAATATGTTTATTTTCTAAAATATGAAATAATAGTGTTTACTGACTTTGAATGGTAAACAGCTGAGTAAGCAAAGTCGGGCACTCGGGCTATAGGAAAATAATATTTTGCATACCACACGTAGGTATGGCGAGATAAGTATCCCGGTGTCTCGGATCCCAAAAACCCTCGGGGATCCCGTCCAGTTTTTAAATTTCCAAAATTTCCAATGTAACACGGATATTAACGCAGCATATTGCGCAAACTAGTGGTTAATTATACAATATTTCGTGAGCAAACGAATTCCGGGTTTTTAATAATAAATTTTGAGCTTATATAGTACTGTAGCATTAGCATATTATACCTAATTTTAAAGTGAATGTACACTGCATACATAATTAATAAATACCTATCTATAACACCTGTCCCTGAAACTTTCTTTCCCACCATATACAAATCTTGAGATATTGCGAATAAGCAGGTATACGAATATCTTTCCAAACTTAACCTAACCTGTTGCCTAAAAAAAGTTAACGCATGAGTTCCTCATAATATAATTTGTTCTTGTAAGACTGTATACAAAAACTTATAAATATCAAAAATGAATATAATAATAATGAGCAACAATTATTTTACTAAAATTTAAAATTAAAATGGGACTTTAAGTTCCACAAAAGTTTAAAGTACAGGTTAAGGTCTTGGCCCCCTAGCCATCAAAATTATAAATTGCAATAATTGTAAAATGCATTAATGTTAAATTAAAATGCATTGCAAAAAAATTGAATTAAATTCATATGATTTTTAAAACTTATTATCATAACTTGGAACGATCATAATTCATAAATCATAATCAATGCAATATATTAATAATTACCTACCGGCATTGTTTGTTTCAGCAGTCGTCCACGTCACGTCGCGCTCGGTTTCGATGAAATTAAGTAATAATATGGATTTTTTGACTAATAATGATTTGTGAAGGTTTTTACTGTTAATATCTCCAAAATCGGTAGTTGCCGCATAATCGACGAATTGTATGTATTTTTGTTTTTCGCCGCATTGAATGATTAAAATCAAGAAGTACACATTTTATAATTATGTCTAAATAGTACCTACTCAAAAATAATTATTTAATAATTGCTCATTACTGATTTATATTTATATGAACTTACAGTTGCTATAGTATGCACTGCAACGATAGCGGTAGCGGTAACGCCGGTAAAATGAAGCTGGACACAATTAATAGGCAATTTAATTTGTAAAATCGCATGCTCTTATAAAAAGATATTAAATTTAGAGCATCTATCAGACTAAACTTTATTTTTTATTAAACTTAAAAGTGTTTTAATTTTAAAAGTAATTAGTGTTGAGATTATACAAAATAGTACAAAAGTCAAAAGATAAAAAAAATCTCAAAATATGAACAACTCTACAAACAACAATACAACACCCAATTGTCAATTCTCATCTATTTTTTCCTACTAGGATCAATTATCCTACTTCATCTATATCTTATATCAATAGAAAATATTAGAAAATTAGAATTGTCCTGATGGATATGCATAAGAGCGAGACCACAACAAGACGTAAAAATGATGTGTCCTGTAGTATCCATATTAAAAAAAATTTTGGATCCCCCGACATATGTTTTCAGTTACGGTCTTGATTGTTGTAGTCAACCATATTTTAAGCCGTTGTAGTGTTGAAAAGGATCTTTCTGTGGTTTCTGATTCACAGCTACAATAGCATTGAAACAATAAATTACTCTGAAATCACGACAGTCGTCAAACATAATAATATTAATAATAAGAAATTAACCAAATTAGAATTATAAATAGAGAACCCGAGAGTGCCTATTTGAAAACCACGTATGCAGTGGCGTAAATAGTGGTTGAAATTTAGGGGGGCTGAAGCTCAGGTCTATACTTGAACTCTTATGAAGCTTTTGAATCATAGTAGTGAAATCATAAGTTTTTTTTTTTTGGGGGGGGGGGGGGCTATAGAAACTCTAAGAGAGGCTAAAGGCCCCCCCTATTTACGCCTATCCACGTATGTACTACGTACTAACGTCTAGCGTACTATAGGTACACGAAAGTATAAGATAGGTAACGATTATAAGACGAGAACTTACAATTAAACGATATCGAGTATATTAATATTTAATATAATATATCAGAGGTTCTTAACCTTTTGTAGATCACGAACTCCTGATGAAAGATTTTTAGAAATCTTAGACCCCCTTTCCAAATTTTTTTGAATACCTTTTTTTTTACAAAACATTAGGTATCATAAGAAACGCTGTAATATAATATTATAATATTATATAGATACCCCCCTAATAACAAAATCGTATATTACATTAAATTAAATTGTATAGTTGATACCTATACTACTCTCCTGTTCTTTTTGTTTATTTTTTGGAATATGAGGGGCATGATCCTTGCCCCCACTCCCTCCTTAAGCCACCACTGATTAGACTTATTTGCAACTTGTAAATAATCTTAACATTGATAGAATTTTTACTAATTCTGTTGATTCTTTTAATGTATACCTTAGTAATTTGATCACTTAAATGTTAATGGATCCTTACACAAAATAATGTACCTACTGCAGTATATATACATAGTTATTTTGTGTATTTACATATACCTACTTAATGTAATCGGCCTCGACCGTTAAATATAATAATTAATAAATAAATACCGATAATATAGTGTAATTATAATAATAATGAATAAATTATTATCGTCTGTAAATAATTTGGATATAATTAATATTAAATAATATATACTTTTTATCTCCATACTACAAATGAATAAAAAATTTACTAATAAGATAACAAGATTTAAGTATCGCGCTTTATATTCTTTTAATATGTTTGGTTCGACCATAATATACTGGAAGTAAGAGTTTGTTACGGCGACGATTATAAACAACAATCGAAATTTCGGTTGTGAAGTTGCATTACCGTGCCGTATTATAAGTTATAACTACCTTGGATATAATATAAAAAAACACGAAGTCTTGACTATTATATTGAAAATATTAGTATTTTAGTATATTAGGTACCTAATTTAGTAATACAATTATAATTTATAAATATACTATAGCATCAATTATGTTTGGTTGTTAAATAACCTGTAAATTTAAAAAAGAAAACAATGCTTGACTTATTCATTTGTAAGTAAAAATAATTAGTCTTAAAACAATATGAACAATATAAATGGTAAAAATAAACGTCATGTTGGAAATTTGATTGTGTTTAGAATAAATGTATAAATTATATAATTTTAAATTCAAATTAATGTAATTCTCATATTCATTAATTCACTAAAGCCACGATAATATTAAATTAAATATAAACACAATATATAAAATCGTATAGAACCAGTTAATAATAACTAATGATTTAAATAATAAATAATAAGTCATGCAATAACCTTAGCAGTGGAGACGTATAAATAAATAATTAAAAAAATAATACATATATAATTATTAGTCAAAATGAACGATTTTTAAAGTAATGACCTACAAATTGAACAAAATTAAATCTGGATTTTTCTCTTTCTCTTTGTTTCATTTAATAGAATTCTGATAGATTAAAGTCTGTTTCCTGGTTTTCTGTGTGTCTACTGTTCTAATTTTAATGTAAATATTTTATTACATCTACTTCCCATAAAACATTAAAAAAGTTGTGGATTTTTGGATGTGAATATTGTTTAAATGTTACGTATACAATATTATACCTACCTATAATATGTACAGCACTCATATTCCATCGATATCAATTATCAATGATATACCTGCCTATAGTACTCTTGGAGATAATAATTAATAAGTTAATAATTGATAAATATTAAAATAGCCATCGTTACTGTTTGTATTAAAAAAAATTGTGTGTCCATTTTTTAACCGGTCAGAACAGTCGATTTTTACCCAAAAAAAATTGTACACTAAAATATAATTAATTATTTATGTTTATTGGCTGTACACGGCGTGAAGAAGACGAAAGAACATTTTTTTTTTTTCTAATGATCGGGCTGCTCCAATCAAACCGCAGTATTGTGGAACATCCTACCGGCAATGGCCAGGGAAGACATGAACGCGCAGAGCATCACGGACCCCGCGCACGAGGGGGGGTGGCCGCTGCCCGGAGCAGTTCCGTTGCCCGAACCGGTGCCGTTTCCGGATCCGGCGCCGTCGGACGCGGGGGCGTTTCCGGCGTTTCCGGCGTTTCCGGCGTTTCCTGCGTTTCCGGCGTTTCCGGCGTCTGCGAAGGGTGCCGCGTTACAATTGTCCACATCTGAGCAATAAACGCAGGTGCCTGCGACCAAGGCATGCGTTCCGATCGGCGCACCGGCACAATCCGCGTCCGCCTCTTCTGCGCAGCCGCGTATTACGCCGAGCTTCTCGTGTGTAGTTGCATCTGTCGATTGGAGTTGGGTGTATACAGGAGAACAATCGATTATGGCCGAGGTTTTTTTTTATTTTAATATTCATACTCACCTTCTACATAGACCGCGTAACATTTGCTCGGAGCAGCGCAAGCGATCGGAACCGTAGTGGTCGCGCCCGGTTCCGCTTTTCCACAGGTGCTCACAGCGTCTTGCTTGCATTCGTAACAATTCGCCAAATCTGCCAGAGCTATAACACATACATAATATAATAATAATAATAATAATAATTTTATTAACGGAATAAAATTCCAATTTACAATAATAAAAATAATGACAGTTTCATAGGTGTGTGTTATACTAAAAAAATTAAACAAATGATAAAAGAACGAGAGAAAAAAAGTGAGAAAAAAAAGAATATAATATGTATATTGTATACATAGAGAAATTAAAAGTTAGACAATTGATTAGGTATATAACAATTCGATTAAAATTAATATAATAGTAGGTAATAATCATAAGAGTCATATTGAACAGGTCCAAGTTGTTAAAAAAGTTACCACATGACATTAATATAATAGCAGGGTAGTATAACATGTAGTTAGTTTTAATAATAGATAAATAAAAAGGATGTTTATTTCTTGAATTTTTTATATTTACATTGAAATTAATATGCTCTAAAAGTTCTGGGCAATCAATTAAATTATGTAATAGTTTAAAAAGAAATTTTAAATTTAACATTTAAAATCTACTATTTAAAGGAGCAATATTAGAAAAAAATACTAATATTAATATATCCAGAATGAGGACGTCTTTCAAAGTGACATTTAAAAGATAAATATCTCAAAAAATTATTTTGTATACTAGCTGATAGACTCTGGTTTTGACAAACGCTATCAGAGTGCCAAATTAAAGAGGCATAGTCAATATGGGAGCGTACTAAGGAATAATATAATATTTTTAAAGCTGAACTATCGTTGAAATCACTACACATACGTTTTAATAATCCCGACTTCATATATGATTTATTTCGAATAGAGTCAACATGATTGCTAAAAGATAATTTTGTGTCAAATGAAACTCCTATATTACATGATATATCGTGGAAAAGAGTGTAAAAAGACCAAATACTACAATGCACACTAATATTATCGACGCGAGTACAATATAATATTATTTGGGTATAATATATTAACGTTTATTTCGACAAGAGCAGCATTTAAGTTAGCGATAAAATAGTCACAGCAGAGCGTTATACTCACTCGGAACAAAATATCCGCTCATACACGCCGCGACGACCAACATTGTTACTGTGAAGGAATTCATGTTTTTCTGTTTGGACTGCGAGAGTTAAAAAAACGAATAGAGTTGTGAAAGAATTATTAAAACAGTTTTAACTGGTATTTTATTATTGGCACGGTAAAAAAAATTAAAATATTCTCTTCGGACGACTTTTATGCGACATTTACTGGGCTGAGCTTCGAAGTAAAATGACCGAGAGACGATGACGGATGACGTGTACCTATAATATTAGTATCCATGTATATTTGACACGGATTAAACATTCTGATTTGGCCAGATATAGGAGAAGCCATATTTAATTAATTTATATTTGATTACAAATATTTTACTGTTCAGGCAGCTCATTATTATTTTGATTTAATATAGTATTGCGTTATCGTAGTTTTTGAATGTCGTTAAAACTAATAACGCGGGTCCCCTTTTTAGACGATTGCAATTTGCAGTAGTTATGGGCTGAACTATATTCGAATAGTTCAACGTGTTATGAGCTTAAAATGTATCTATATGTAAGTACGTAACTACTAATACTATAGGATTTGGGTAAACAGCTGATACCTATTATAATATTTCTAAATAATGTCGATATCAAAATTATGTACATGTAGGTACCTATATAATATTCATTATTGAAGACATTTTTTATTTTGTCATGATTTAAATGCTTAATATATATTTATAAGTGAGAATATAATTATTAAATATTAATATTAATATTAAATGTTTTAATTAAAACACAAATAAGTGCCCATGATAATGAATAACATTCAAATTTCACCAATGTGGTCAATGTAAAACTATTTCAAACTTTATAAATTGTTTTTCGTGTCATTATTATTACTAAACATGTACAATTACAAATTGTATTATTTTATTAAAAATTGAAAAATTGGAATGAACTTGAACAATTTCAGTCTTTGAAAATTTATTTATTTTTTATTTTATTAGAATATTTACAATCTATGCTACAAGGCATAATAAGCAAATTTGATCATACATAAAAATTTTTTTACAACCTGAACACATGTGGAGGGAGGCCATCCAATGATAGAACCCAACGTTATTTTAATTATTTATTAATTATTAACCTAATTTAACTTAATATAAATTAAATTAAAATTAAATGATATGAACCATCAATTATTTAATAAATCACGACACCAATTTATCTTTAGACGGCGTGGGGGATTACTAGGAAGTGAGTTGGAAGCAAGTTCAGCGATTAAAGGGTTAGAGTGACATTGTAATTTAGAGAGAAATTTTTATAATGTTTTGTGGCTAATTGATTTACTGTTTCTATTTTGAAGTCATTTTGGAGTGTGGAATTTGATACGTACCAAGGTGCGGAAGAGATAATTCGGAGGGTGAAATTTCAATGAAAAAAAAAAATTTGAAAATTTTCAATCTTACAGCTTTACCTACATCTATAATATACTATCTATATGGCTATGTTCTATATGGCTATATATTTATATAATATGACCAATATATGTATAGGTATATACTTTTTACCACGTCGAAAATATTTACATTCCTACATCCTATTGAGTATTGACTATAATAAAGGTAGAATTGCCTACCATCAACATTCATAGGCGTGCGCAGACTTAAATTTCTGGTCGAGCCTAGACAATTATAGTGCCCTAATATTTGGAATTTTGGACTGCGCCCCTAATTTTTTTTTTAACACACCAACATACATGTTGATAATATATTAACCTATTAATGTCTATAGTACTATAGTTATAGTATTTGTACCTATAAAGGTATACTGTATTTTTTTAGATCAATAAAATGTATGTAATGGTTAGGTTAGGTAGGTACACTGTACACACAAATATTTTTGATTTTTTTATACTTTCACGACAAACAAAATTTTCATGATCTCCACGAACATATTATTATTATAATATAATAAGCATTATAATAAAATATTTAAATATATACGCACATTTTACTATGCCCCTAAAAAGTTTCAGGTCGAGCTGATCGGCTCGCCCCGTGCGCACGCCTATGTCAACATCATCTTAAGTCTTAACAAAGGACTTTAGGTCTTATAAGAGCACAAAAATCAAAAACCCCAGTCAGTTATTGACACCCTTAAGTAATAATTAAAAATGCATGATCGACACAACTAACAACGGACAACCAAATATGTAATCTTCTCAACCCTCCGCGCTATATAGCTTAGAAATAAATCAAAAAATATTCAAAATACAATTTAACCTAATATTATTAGGTATCTACAGATATGTGAATTACATAATGTGATATAAATTCGCCAAATTATGAGATTATAGATGATATACGCCTCATGGCATTGATCGATTCGGCCTTCAATAGGCACATTTAAATTTTAGGTAGGTAAAAAAAAGTAATATATATTATATGATGATTATAATGTATATTTAGTTGTAATTAATTGATAATGAGCTACGATATCGTGATTATGAATAATTTATTTTGATAAATATTTAATAAATAATAAAGAACTTGTTGCTATAGGTAACTATAACTATTAGACTTGTGTCCCGGGAGAGATAAATAATATAAATACCTAAATATGATAATTCAAACTCGCTCGTTTCTCGAACTTTTACGGTCGTTCGACGGTTTATTATTTATATAATATAATTAAATATTGTTAATTATTATATTATAAGGATTATTATCGCTGTAGACTGTACTACTCTGTACTACATGAATGAACGAATATACACAATATATAAATAGTGAATACCCTTAGCATTTGTAGCAAGGCATTTTCCGATGATATTGTTATTATGTTATTACTTATTTTATTAATAATAATAAATCGTAACTTATCATCGATCGTCCGCTGCGCAACTCATTCGATCTCGTTCGCTCCCTTTGTCCGGTGACTTACTGCGCTTCGCAAAGGTACCTACTTTACCTGCTACAACTGCGACATTAACCATTATCTCGTATATGATTTCCTCATTATACCTACCCAGTCATTATTACAGAAGAGGTTCACACGACCAACGTTCGGCAGTATCGTTTCGCGTTTCGTCTCTACAGTAATATAACTGCAGCCATACTATACCTATACTCATAAAATTCCAATTTTTTTCCGATTTAAATTCGTTTCGCATATAATAAAATACGTCGACTGTGTGTAGTCGGGCCTTTCTTCGCGATTCGATTGTTATTCAAACGATCAGACTGTCCTACGTCAAGTTTATGGATTTTCTCGAGTCATTCGGATCGTCGGTGTTTTTTCTCGTTTAGAAACCGAACAGAAAATCGCGGCCAACCATAATGGGAGGACAACCCACCAAAATCCAGTGAGTTTCTTCTTTTATCACTTTTACTTACATATTATTATTTCTTTACCTACGACCTACGTCCTGTATCATGTCATTATATTCTTCTTCTCTCTTAGCTTCTTATTTTATATTGTATATATACTATACTGCAGTAGTAATTATTATTACTGGACACGCGGTTAACTGCCAAGTGTATCCTATTTTCGAATTTTATTTGTGAGAGTTTGAAAACTTTAACTTGTACACGTGCTATTGTACGTTTAAATTTATGTAACCTGCAAGACAAAAAGGGTCAATAATATTAATAAAATATAATATGATTGACATTATATTTTCTAATTTCTGTATTTTAGAAAAATACATTTTTCTATAAGATCGTTGGATTCAAATTTTAAATTCATCGTAACTATCGTGGGACGTGGATTAACTGATTGATTTCAATAAGTAGTTGTATAATAGGCTATATTTCATAGGTACCTTACACTATAAAAAATATAATTGTTAATACTTTATAATTATAATCTACTTACACAATTGCATCTGTTTAAAATTAAAATTTAAAAAAGTGGGCTTAGTCTGTTACTGTACTACCTAAACATATTACACTACCTACCGACTAACTATATGGTCATAAGTATTTTGTGATGTCGGTATATACAGGACATAATATAGCATATTATCGACTATAGGCTATAGAAAACTCTAAATTTAGGTAATAACAATATGCGACTAAAAACACAATTAGGTACTCGACACTACTCGTGGTAATAAATAGATAAGAATTTGACATTTTCGAAAAGATAAAACAATAATCAAAAATCATAAAATAGAACATTTATGAAGATAGCATGTTTATAAACATTTCCGACCAGCAAATATCTCCAAAATTGTTTAGTTTTTTACTTAGTTAAAACGTCTTATAACATGCTTTTTGCTATCCTCCTAAAAATCTTTTCAGTAGGACCCGGTTTCAAGGCCTATAAATTCAAATTAAAACACAAATTTGCCACCAAAAATCTATAATACCAGAATTTTGACGATTCGCGTACTTTGAAACTAATCCAACCGAGCCCACTCGCATGTTTTTATTAAATTATTAAACTTGTCGGTGTGTTGCACTGTAGTTGTCGTGCAGCGTTTATTTCTGTCGTTTTTGACAAAATACGTTCCTATTCACCACTGTTTATTTCCCATTATTTATTTTCACACACAATTGCACAAAAGCCGATTGCCAGACGGACTTTAGTACCACAACTGCTCGGCCAGCACAGAACGGTCGTTACTCGTCGTTATCATCGGCGCACACTATGAGGTTTATAAATAGGATTTATAGGTCAAACAATTGTACGTGTTGTTTTCGTCCAAAGGTTATCAAGTGCTGGCAGTCCTGCACGAGAAAATATCACAAGTTCATAATAATAATATGATAAATAAACGATAATAAAATATAATAATTAATAAATACGTGTTTTCCTAAATAATAATAGTAATAATAATTTATAAATCGACGCCACACTTAAATCGTTTTATATTATTATTATCATACATCGTGTGTTCGATTAGAATAATCGAATGGAATAATTCTACAGTCTACACCGGGTGGGTACATTTGCAACCATATTATTATAGTTTGTAATATTTAATATTTTTTTACTGAATTCGTTTTTAAATAATATTTATTGCTCATATACTACCTGTGAATAAAATAACTAATAGGTTTGTCGGCTCGTGTTGTTGACAATTGTTTTTATGTTGTACAGTTAAAAAGTCGGCTTATTTGACAAACTACCTGTAGTACTCATAAAATCGTGTATTTCTTTGTTTTTCTTATCTTAACCCGTTTATATTTGTTTCATGGTAGTTGACCTTACGACCTATTTTTATATGTCGTCAAAATCTATACAACAATATTCTGAGTACCTACCGACTAAATAATGCACTCATGCAAATTTTATGGTGTATCGGTAGGTAGATAATAATAATTATATTATTATTATATTGTGTATAGTGGTGGTAAATCTATAACAATTAGCAATAGTTACATAATTCTGACTGAATTTCAAGTGCTGTGTACATGTGGTTCAATATGTTGCTCAGTTGGTGTATTTTACTATACACCGTACCATTATAATAGTGCTGATTTTTATTCGATAATACTTACTGTTTTATCAACTACCTACCTAGGTACCCATTTTGTTGGGCGAATTAACAAACTTCAATTTTCAAGCATTTTAGCGTTACGTCCACCAGGTACCTATGCCTTTATATGTTATGTATGAACTATATGATATTAATTCACTTTAAAGTTTTTCCATATTTATTATTTGATATTAGAATAATGACGACTTGTGTTTCATATTATATTTTATGCACATTGTTATACTCGACGAATATTATTCATCGGCCACGATATAAAGGTCAATTAGATAAGATTAAAGATTATAATATTATTTAAAATTTGTGTATTTGAATGTTTAAAATAGTTTATTAATAACTAACGATTTCCAATGGCAAAACCATGCTTATACTCTTTCTAGTTTTGTGTACAACCATTTTTGTAACTATTGGCATTTTTGTCATGTTATTATTCATCCCATGTTTTTGGAATTTAATCACACTACTATTTGGTAAAATATTTTCCAGGAATAAAACTATGGATGTTAAGCCACAGAGTAACCATAAAATGCGTATTGTGACATTGGAAGATGGTCGTTTTCAAGATGAGACACTATACAGACTGAAAAAAGGTCAATATAAATTGTTATTTTTAAAATATATAGTGTTTTGAATGTTTTTGAATGTTTTTATTTTAGGCTGGTACTTGGAATTTCGGATGGGCCCGTCACTTTTTGGACGTGACGTTACCATTTACACTAATATACCAGCAGAAGGATCAGCCTTTGACAGAAAAACTTATCGTTGCCTTGATTGGATTAGAGAGTGGTCAAGTGATGATATCATTATTGATGATTCGTCTTTGTCGTGTCTTATCCAAATGAACAAGGCTGGATCTTTTCATTATTATTATGAACATAAAGGGCAAAAGTAAATGTGTATTAATTGTAGTCTACCTACCTAGTATTTGTGAAATTAACATTGTGCATATTTTTTTTAGGAAAGGATGTGGTTATATTAACGTTGATCCAGATTTGGTTGCTGGAAATGAAGATATACCTTTAGAATCGTTGCAAAGTGTATCTGTTTTAGCAAAATGTCTAGGACCATTTTCATCGTGGAAATCCAAGTTACAAGTCGCAAAAGAGGCTGGATACAACATGGTGCATTTTACACCCATTCAAGTATGATTTGGACATTTTTTAATATTTATAAATAATTCAAGTTCTGATTAAATGTGTAAATTGTTTCCAAATCAAGTTTAACTTGTATAAAGTCTATGATCTGTATCAAAAAATCAATAGAACCACACGGTCCTTGAACCCATTTCCTTAGGTTTCCAGTTATTATGAATTTTATTTTTTTACTTTTATATATTGCTATATAAAAAATTCCAGAAATAAGCATCCTTTTTATTTATCTATTATTAAAACTAACAACATGTTATACTACCCTGCTATTATATTATTGTCATGTGGTAACTTTTTTAACACCTATGAAACTGTCATTATTTTTATTATTGTAAATTGGAATTTTATTCCGTTAATACAATTATTATTATTATTATTATTATTAATGTTACAATATTTTGGTTAAAGTAAATATTATATTATTAATAATGAAAATAATAGTAGGGTTTTCACTTAATTCATAAAACTGTTGACAGTAACCAAGCAAGTCGCATTTAGTAATGTAGCATTTGTGAAATTATAAAAGTACAATCTAATTTTAATGTCTGTAATATAGTACTTTGTATAGTATGTTTCTATAATAATAGTATATAAATAATCATTATAATTGATCTGTAAACAGGTAGTCTTGTTTATTGTAATATTTTTAAATGACAATAAAATTATCATTTTTAGGAGCTCGGAGGTTCAAAATCATCATACAGTCTGAAAAATCAATTGGTCTTAAATCCTTCTTTCAATGATTGTAATCATCAAGTTACATTTGGTGATATTAAGGTTTTGACTGATGAAATGAAAAACGAATGGAATGTAATAATTCAGATTAACTAAGTTACTAAATTGAACATTACCTATATTAATATAAGGTTAAATATCTTTCAGATGTTAAGTATATGTGATATAGTGTTGAATCATACCTCCAATGATAGTCCATGGCTATTGAAACATCCTGAATCTGCTTACAACTTGGTAAACTGTCCATATTTGAGACCAGCTTATTTGTTAGATTATACATTATATCACTTTACTGTGGAAGTTTCTAAAGGTATGTGGGAATTTTATGGAGTCCCTGTGATTGTCAATAGTGAAGAACATCTTGCAGTGAGTATTTTGAAATTAACATTTTTAACTATTGAATATCGATAACAATATTTGGGTTTATTTATTTTTACTTATATTTTGTAATTGTGAAATAGAATATGAATACACATTTAGTATCTTATTTTATTAATATATATTTATAAATTCCAGCCATATCTGTTAAAGTTAATATTCTATAACTTTGATACACTTTTGTGTAATTAATTTAATTATTTTACACCACTTTTGATTTTAACAAATCAATTAAATTCTTTTTTGAGAAAACTTCAGTTTTTTTTTTACATTAATTGATTTTTAGTCCATTATGCGTATAGAATTTAGAAATTGTATAGGAATTACTGCCTATTGTTAAAGTGTGTTGATGAATACTATGCCTGTCTATAGGGGCGGATAGGCCAATCATGTAATCGGGAAACTTCCCGATGAGCTGGTCCTTGTGTGGGCTGCATTATAGTTATAAGATAAAAAAATATTTTTTTTTTTTAAAAATGCACAGAAATATTTTTAAAATGTTTTGAGATCATAAGTGAATACATGTAAATTAATAAATATTAATCCAATATTAGACATTACAAATGTGTTGGTAGAAAAAAAAATTCATATTAAAATGATAATTATAAAATCATAGCTTATTTATTACTATAAATAATAATAGGTAATTAATGATTGTGATTTGTGGATAGAATTGTGTTATTTTATACATTAAAGACAATATTGAATATAGATACACATAGTAACACTTTCAACACTTTCAACACTTTCTGACGCTTATACCCGTCAACCAGTAGCGTATCCAGAATTTTTTTTTGGGAGGGGTTATAATTTATTTTTGTGGAATTTTATCTTAAAATGATTTATTAATGATAACGTTGTTATAATTTAACAATTTTCGGGGGGGGGGGGGGGGGTTACAACCCCCTAACCCCCCCTGGATACGCCACTGCCGTCACAGGCCGATGATGCATTAATGCGTCAAAAACGTATACGTTTGTAATACTTTATATACACTTTAATTAAATCGGATTTTCTTTAATGAACCCTGAAACTTAGATAGGCCATTGATAATGAACTCTAAATTTAATTATATAGGTGGTTTTAGTTTTTGTTTTTTCTGTCGTTTCTAAAATCACAAGCGGAGTTGAACTTGTTTAGACTAGAAATATAATAAAAGGTTTAGAAAATGTAATTAACTTTGAACTACTATACAAATTATTAATATTTATATTGGTCACAAAATATTTAAGGATATTTTTGGTAAATATTGAAAAATGTATTATGTTTAAACTTCAAATTCAAGTTTGGAACAGCTTAACCTTATCTCACTATTCCAAGACTATAAATTATGGTTATTAAATATTTTACTAATGTAGAGGAGAGACCAAACAAATTTTGAAATTATAAATTAAGGAACACCTTATAATGTATGTGTTAAAAAACGATAAAAGCTGTTTTTGGGGAATAAAAAAAGTTATATTCGCGATTCAAGGCTCAAAGGCCAGTTCGATTCATATTTCCCGCCCAAAAAAAAATCGCCAATCTGCTTTTGCCGGTCTGTAATGTTAAAATGGTTATGCATATTTAAAGATTACTGAATTTAAAATTATATCTTTAATAATTAACTTTGTATAATTTTACAGTCCATACGACATGCATTATTAACAGCGGTATTACCAAAAGTAAAAATTCATGAGCTGTTTCAACTAAATATTGACAAAATTGTAGCTGAGTTTCAAGAAAAAGTTCGTACTGGTCTCCCTCCGGTAGCTACAAATGAAAAACTTGATGAAGAATTAACAATCATACCTGATTTAGAATTTGGCCGATTAACAGCTACAATTGATATGAACAAAGCATTGAAATTATACAATATATATAGGTAGATGAATATTACACAAAAAACAATAAAACATTTATAAATTTATTTTACATAACAATATTGTTGAACAAATTTATTTTAGAAGCAATTGTTTTGATGAAGATACTAGGCTTGGTCGTTGTAGTTTAGAATTGAAATTAAAGTTGGAAACTTTGAACAATACAGTGTTTAATGAAGTTCAAGGACATTTAATAGCTGCAGTAGATAATAGTATTGCTGGTATAAGATATTTCAGAGTTCAACCGGATGGACCTAAATTGACCAAAGTTTCTATTACTAATCCTCTAGTACCAAGGTAAAAAAAAAAAAAAAAAATTAAAAAAAAAACAACTTCCAAAGTATAAAATATATTTTATTTTTAGGTATTTTACAGACTATGAAGGTCAAACTGCTGAAGAGGTATTGCATTCTTCAAATGGACAATTTGTTATGGCACATAATGGATGGGTTATGGGTGGTGATCCACTTAAAAATTTTGCTGGACCAGACTCTAATATTTATTTACGTAGAGAATTAATTGCCTGGGGAGACAGTGTTAAATTAAGGTATGTTTTTATCCATTAATCTTGGATTGTGTAAACAATTTTGTTTCGACCAATATTATCAGCCAGATATACTTTTTATAGTTATATTTAGTTATTATTTTGTATGAGGCTGTTATACAAAGGTTTGTTATTAAACATCTGTCATACATCAAACATAATCAAAACAAATTTAAAGTTCTATATCTTTTCAGTTTTGTTATTATTTCTAAACATACACATTATTATAATTTAATTATTAATTTGAAATCATAATTTTATGACTTATAAAATATTTGTTTGTTTCTTATTGTAAGCCCTGGTGGCTGCTGCAGTGTATTTTTATTATTAGATTTTATGTCTTATCCACAATATTGATTGTTGCCTTTAGGTATGGAGATGAACCTAAAGATTGCCCATTTTTATGGAATCATATGCAGTGTTATGTGGAACAAACTGTTAAAATATTTGATGGTGTCAGATTAGATAACTGCCACTCAACGCCATTGCATGTAGCTGAAGTAAATTCAATTTATTAATCTATTAAAATATATTATGCATTTAATAATAAACAAAAAATAAAAATAAATATTAACATTTTTGATAACTTGTTGATTTAGTATTTGCTTGATGCTGCTCGAAAAGTTAAACCAGATTTATATGTTGTGGCGGAGTTGTTTACGAATTCAGATGCTACTGACAATTTATTTGTTAATAGACTTGGAATTACATCACTTATTCGTGGTAAGATACAATTTGTTATTCATACATCACATAATTTTATATATTAATTATATTTTTAATATTGGAATATTTAGAAGCAATGTCTGCATGGGATTCACATGAGCTTGGACGCTTGGTTCACCGTTATGGTGGTGAACCGGTCGGTGGATTTTTTAAGCCACTAGAACAACTTGTATGTCCTACTATTGCACATGCTCTTTTCATGGATCAAACTCATGACAATCCATCTCCTATAGAGAAACATTCAGTTTATAATTTGTTGCCTAGTGCGGCTTTAGTATCCATGGCATGCTGCGCTAGTGGAAGCAATATGGGTTATGATCAACTAGTTCCACATCATGTATGTTAAATTGTATAGCAATAATCACAACAATTTTAGTTAAACACTTAACGTGTTACTTAGTATTTTCTGTTGTAAGGAAGAATATTGAATCATAATATTATGATTAAAAAAAAAAAAAAATATGTATTAGGTTGCTATGGTAACGTACTAACGTCACTAAAATTAATCATTGATTGCTAATTGCTAAGGGCAACCTTATAAAATATCCAATAACAAAAAAAATTTTATCCAGATTTTGTGGTTTTTTTTGGTTGCCATAGTAACTGTAATAGTCAGAAAAAATATTGTACCAGCCCTAGAGAACATATTTAATATGTTGACTCCAACATATTTTTATTATTTCTAGATTCATGTTGTTGAAGAGGAAAGACAATATATGCAATGGTCATCCAAAGAAATTAATATTACTACAGGGATAGTAGCTGGAAAAAAAGCATTAAATGCACTTCACTATAATCTGGGAAAAGGTGGTTTTGATCAAGTCTATGTGGATCAAATTGATACTGATATTGTTTGTGTGACACGTCATAATAGCAAAACGCACGAGAGTGTTGTACTAATGTCATATACTTCCTTTTCAACTCCATCTAACCAAAATGGTTTGGGAAAAGGGATAACTGTAACTGGAAGAGTTGATAATGTACTAATTGAAACTTCATTGCAACACATGTAAATATATTAATTTTTTTTCTATTTTCATATGATTACCTAAACAATAATAATAATTTTTTTTTAGGGTATTGGAAAATACAAATAAATTTGAAAAAGATGCAAATAAGATCAATGGCTTAGAAGATTATATACTGAGCTTAAGACAAAATGTTACTCCTCAAGAATGTTTAATGTTGGATATAATACCTTCAGCTGATAAATTTTCTGTTAGATTGAATTTTACTGCAAAATTTCAACCTGGTTGTGTAGTAGCAGTTGCAATTTTTCCAGTAGAGAAAACAAAAATAGCTGTTGAACAGTTATTGTCTGATATTGATTTGGAGCAAGCAGTTAGTCGTTTAACCCTATCCGACATGAATTATGTTTTGTTCAGATGTCCTGAAGAAGATGAAGGAAATGTTTATGATGTACCAGGATTTGGTAAATTGGTGTATTGCGGAATTCAAGGGTTCATGTCAATTTTAGATACAGTGTCTCCAAATAATGATTTAGGCCATCCACTATGTGAAAATCTCCGAAAAGGTTTTTGGATTCTAGATTACATAAGTGGACGTTTAAAACGTAAAGAATTTGAAAACTGCGCATTGTATCAATTTGGAGACTTTTTAGAAAGATATTTACAGCCCATCAGGAACTTGCCATCATATTTGGTACCCTGTTATTTTGAATTTTCCTTGAGAAAAGTATACAATGCTTTGTTGAACCGCACATGGTCAATGATGCCTAGTGATATAAGAAATGGTTCTACATTTTGTAAAAATTTAGCTCTTGCTTCAATTCAATTTGCTGGAGTAGTTAAATCTAGTCCTCTTCCTACTCTTTCGCCAAACCTTTTAGCACCTTTACTCAGAATGCAAATTGGACCTGATGGATTATATCGTCCTGAGTGTATAACACTTGCAGCTGGGCTGCCACATTTTTCTAGTGGTTACATGAGAAACTGGGGCCGAGATACTTTCATTTCGTTGAGAGGATTATTGTTAATTACTGGACGTTATGAAGAAGCCAAGTATAACATTATTGAATTTATATTATTAAATATTTAAAGTAAAAATGTATGTTTATTTTTAGGTACATAATTTTAGGATTTGGTGGTTGTTTGAGACATGGTCTTATTCCTAATCTATTAGATGGAGGCAATAACCCACGTTATAATTGTCGTGATGCTGTTTGGTGGTGGTTATATGTAATTCAGAAGTATGTTACATTGGTACCTGGAGGTATAAGTATTTTAGATGATCCAGTAAATAGAATTTTTCCAAATGATGATTCGGAACCCACATCAGTTGTAAGTCTTGGATTTGAATAAGTTGTACATGCCATGTATCATGATATACTTATTCATTTTTTTAAATTGTATTACCAGGAACAACCATTACATGAAGTAATTCAAGAGGTTATGGTAAAACATTTCCAAGGGTTATGTTTTCGTGAACGTAATGCTGGAACTTCTATTGATGCCCACATGAAAAGTGCTGGCTTTGATAATCAAATTGGAGTACAACCTCTTACAGGCTTTGTGTTTGGTGGTAATGAGTGGAATTGTGGTACTTGGATGGATAAAATGGGTTCCTCAGATACAGCTGGTAACCGAGGACGACCTGCTACCCCCCGTGATGGATCAGCTATAGAGTTGGTTGCATTGTCAAAGACAACTGTCGCATGGTTAGCTAAATTGAAAAAAAATGGGCAGTTTAAGTATTCAGGAGTTACCCGTACAAATAAGGATGGTATGTCACAAAAAAACAAAAATAAAATAAAAATGTACATCAAACATGTTTTTGTTTTATTTTAGGATCAGAAACTACGTGGACATACAAAGAATGGAATGACAAAATTCAAAACAACTTTGAAATACACTTTTGGATACCCGAGGAAAAAAATGGTCAATTGCAAGTTGAACCTCATCCAGAACTTATTAATCGTAGATGTATTTATAAGGATACAGTTGGTGCAACAAACAAATGGGGAGACTATCAACTGCGATGCAATTATGCTGTAGCAATGGCAGTGGTAAGTTTGATCGTATGTGTTGTAATTTCTTAATCAATTTAAATATATTTTGTTTATACATTAGGCACCAGAGTTGTTTAACCCAGATCATGCAAGAATAGCTTTACAAACAGTAACAAATGTACTTTTAGGGCCACTGGGTATGAAAACTTTAGATCCATCTGATTGGGCATATGATGGCTTTTACAATAACGATAACGATACTACTGATTTAAAAGTAGCCAATGGTTTCAATTATCACCAGGGACCTGTAAGATCATTAAATTTATTAATTCGTAAGAAATTAAATTGTTATTAAAAATCATATATATTTTAGGAATGGTTGTGGCCTGTTGGTTTCTTTTTAAAAGCAAAGCTAAAATTTTCTACTAGTCAACGAGAAACTTCATCTGAAATTCAAGGTATATTATCTAAACATTTTGAACACATAAAAACATCAGTTTGGAAAGGTTTACCTGAATTAACCAATAAAGATGGAGCTTTTTGTGCTGGATCATGTCCAACTCAAGCCTGGAGTGTTGCTACAATTCTTGAGGTAAGAAGAAAATAAACTACCTATTTAGTATTTACTTAACAATTAAATTTAAAATATGTATATATTATAATTATGTCTCAGATTTCAATGCCATAAAAAAATGTATTTGACCTAAAAAAAAAAAATACACATATATTTTTATTCTGTATTATTGATTGTACATTTGAAATATAATATAATTTAATGAATATAAAATAAATAATATTTTACTTGTATAGTCGGTGTTATTCAATCTGAAATATAAATTATAAAACATAATTGTCTCATTAAGTTGGATAATTCCATTTAACACTTTGTCCATACCTGGCGCTGGCATCTGCAAATCAAAACAATTACAGCGCACAATAAGAGCTTCTTTAATATTTTGAAATTGAAATTTGATGATTGTCGACTAATAAAGATCTTGTAGACTGAAAATTAAAGTTTATTTATAAAAGTTATGTCTTCTGCTATTATCTATATTACTATATTCTTCTTCATTTAGTATTTATTATTTTCCAAGATATTATTTTAAGTCCATTTTTATTTAAAATGTTTAAATTTGAATTTATGACATTTCAGATTTGAAAATTTTTTCTTATGTCTCTTAATTGATTCAAAAAAATGTTAAGATTATGCTAGTAAAGATACTGATGTTTGGATCTATGTTATTGCTTAATTGCTTATTAACCTTCACTTAGTAAATTTTGACATAAATTTATTAAAGTTGCATCATCTACATTATATATTTGGTTTATAATGACTTATAAATAATTATATATACTATATATATTATATACATAATAATACTTATAATTGGTAAGTCTACAAAATAAAATACCACACCATCTAACCAGGTGACCAGGTGAAAGTAAAATATCAGGACAATTTTTGTTGTTATCATATTCCTAGAGAATGGAAATGTGAAACCTAAAAAATTATATCACAAAAATGCAAAAAATGCCCCCCAAAATCTTTGTTAGAATAGTATGCACATGAAACACATTTGTAAGTTTGAAAGGATCTTGTCGTGCATTAAAAAAACAAAAACAAATGCAAGTGCATTGAAATCTGAGCTCTAATTATAATTAATTTCATATGCTTTGGGTATAGCTTTGCCTAATATATTGCTTATATTGTCAACTAATTAATTATTTTTACTTATAATAAGAATTTCCTTCTCTATCTGCTTGGAAATTAATTTAATGAGTATTAATACATTTAGTTTTGAACTACTAATTTATACAAATGCCATATTTCTATAACAATAGTAAAACAAATCAATATAGTCTTAGCGATAAAATAATATTATAACATAAAATGAAAATAAAATTCTTTTTAATTTTATCATTTAATAATATTGGTGTTTAATTGAATTTTTTTAAAAATATATAAATAAAATACAATTTCATCATCAATGTATCATGTTTTTTTTTTTGTTATTAATAAACCAATGAATTATGTAATTACATTTTGAAATTGTTTATTTCATTTACATTTCATGTAAAGTGCCTTTTGATTTGACCTGTTGCCAAGCTTATAAGCTTAGCAATTGGTACCTAATAACTGAATGCTACTGGCTGCTACTGGCTAATAGGCTTATGTACGTCTTGTTTATTTTTTGGGATTTAATAAAAGCTATCTTCATTCACAATTAAGATTCATTTAAAATCTTAATATAATAGGTAATACAAATAATATAATATAATTTTAGTAAAATTTATGTTTTCAAAAACAAAAGCATAGAAGTGAAACCAATTACATTTTTCTTATATTCAAAATCTTAAAGAACACTATGATTAAAAATAATAAATATTGAACCATGTGAGTACCTAATTAATCTCAGTGTCAACTTAAATAAAAGTGACAAAAACAATAATCTTTCAATTATAGAAATACATTTAAATTTAAAATTTAAATTTAAATTTAACTTAATTGTTTTATGTATAGAACTATTTAATTTTATTCTAAACATTTAAACCAAGTATTCAAGATCTCAGTTATCTATGTGAAGGCCTTTAAGGCCTGTTAAATGATTTTATAGTTTCATCAATGTTAAATACAATTTTATACTATATTTTTTATAGTTATATCATGAAAAACAACCTATTCAAGTTCGCACGTCTTATGGGTCTGCAGTATTGGCAATGATCGCCAAAATATTTTAACCCCATATACTAATAAGTAATATACTTGCATTCATCTAACATAAGCAGCTAAGCACTAATTTTATAATGTCACTATAATTATTTATAAATACATTATGTGATATTAAATATTATGTTTGATTTCTTTTTCAGACTTTAATGGCTATTACAAACTTGAACCAAATTTAAATTAAATTTGTAAAAATACTATTTATTCGTTATTATTTATATTAAATGTTAATACTTTAATGAAAATCATTGTGAAAGTTAAAAATGTATAATTCAACTAGACTGATAAGAATTTTTTTTACCAAATATGTGTCACAAAGAATTTATTGTTCATTTTACAGAACAGATTGATTTTATTTTTATATACCTATACCATTATTGAATTATTGTGAAATTTCTATTTTTTATTATAGTATAACATTAATTGAGTATTTGATAAAGAAACTAAAACAATCTATTACTTACATTTAAAGATACACTTTATGTTTTACTATTCTCTATCTTTTTTGTCGATGGATTTTGTTTTTAAAATTAATTACCATCATTTTTAGTTTGCTTTAACCGGATTTATGAGTGTTAATAAATTATTATCTAGTAGGTACTATAGATTATATAATTGCACTTAAGTATATACAGTTTAAACTATTATCTAATGTGTAAACTGGCTAACACTGCACAGGCGTATAAAATATAAATTATTTATATTGTATACATCTGTATAATAGTTAAAACTTTATTAAATATTTTATTATTAATGAAATAATCAAAAATAATAATAAAATATTTATTAATGTAGTAAAAATATATTCCTCGGTGAAATTTGTAGTCTATATACTAACTATGTACTACGTACCTACTATAATAAAAGTGATGATTATTAATATTATACTATCTAGAAAACAATTAAATATTCTATCTATAAGATTCTGTGTTATGAGGTAGAGAGTAGAGACTATATTTTCTTCTTATTTTAATAACTGCAGTATATGTATGTGAAAAAAAATTTTAACTTGATGATTACTTTCTAATTTATATTTTATTTTTGTTTTGTAATTTTTAATGCTAAATAAATGCATTAGAGATGAATAGTATATGAATGTTTTTCTTATTTGATTTTGTAAATGCATATTGCATACGGAAATATATTTTTTTTCGAGAGTTAAAATATTACAATCTACAACAGAGACATGGTTTTAATTAAATCCAGATAATCCAAATGTAGTTTAAAACGATTTGAAAGTTTAAAATTTTTCTAGGTATTACTTTTTGTTTATCCTCAAAAATGGTCAAGTAAACTAGCTGAGGACGTGATTATGTGATACCTATCCTAACTTACTAGTGCAAATTAACTTAATAAAATAATACATCACAAGACGGAATAAAAATCAAATAATTGAGTAGTTATATTGTGAGAATATATTGTGATTATTATACGTGCAGACATAGTGGTTAAAAATACAACATAACAAGTGTAGTTGGTTAGGATACTAATACACAGGGATTAAAGTGGGAAAAAATTCAAGAGCGGACTAATGTCTCCATATAGTTTTAAGCGTTCCATATATAATTTTATGTATAATGTCTAATGTTTAAAATCATAATTTGTTAAAGGGGACGCTTTTTACCGCCGTCAGAAGTAGGGGACTGAGTCCTGCGACCTCCCCACTTTAACTAATGCTAATACACTAGAGTTGTGCACGAACCAACTTTTTATTCCCAAGCCCAAGCCCAGCCCAAACCTACCTGCTCAATTTTACTTAAACATATTATGGTACGGGGAAATGAAAACAAATGTCAACATTCTTTGGAAAAATATTTAATTTTAGACCGGTCCAGTGTGAATTGTTAACTGTCTAAATTCTCGGTTCGGATATCTCATATCTATGAATATTGTCCAAAGTGGTTTGGGTCCCTTACTTTTATATGTGAGAATAGAACTGACGACACAGCAGTCAGCAGTACAAGTCAAAACCATTAACAAAAAACTTGATCGAAAGATTAAATGAAGCAGCCAAGGTTGGACTGTTTTTAACTGTGATAAAACTCTCGCTAGGCCGCGACAAAAATGAGTTCAACAAATCACTATTAAAACGGGAAACTGAAAATGTCCGTAAACAGTTCAAAACAATTCAAAATATTTTGAAAATGTTATCGTGTATAGAAAATACGAACCAAACAACCAGTGAAAATGTTTATGTATAATATACGTTCATTTGTTTTAGAGTTACATCATAAATCAAAATCGATTTTGGGTAAAAATTCTCGTTTTTCTTTAATTTATATTTTGTTTTTCCCTGCGCTTTTGAAAACTATTTAGAATTTTTTACTTTTGACCTCCCAAACAGTTTTTTTTCGGTCCCCAAACCCCCCGTTGCTTAAATAGCAAACCTTTGGTGGGATGGGAAGGGGTGGCGACCACTTCGAGGTCGTGGGGGAGGGGGGAGAGCATACCTGCCCTTCGGGCAGACGGATAACCAAACAAATAAACTTAACCTTGTTAGTTTCAACACAAGTATAGAGGCTCTGGTGACTTGTCTTCAAACTCAACGGACCTCCGGTCGCCTGTCGGCTCCGGTCAGTGTAAAAAACAAAAAAGTATCCCTCGACTTGCTATGCAACACCACCTCAAGTAGGCCACAGGGTAAGTTATGTCGTAGTATGATTACAGGGCCGAACTTCCGCCTAGGCAAACTAGGCAGCTGCCTAGGGGCCCTTGCCTTTCTGGGGCCCTCAGGGAAACACCCACAAAAAAAAAAGGTATCACACACATAAATTGATTAACACGGAAAATAGTTCGTGTATAATATAGAATATTATTGAGAGGAAGTAATTTAGAAATTAATATTATTATGTTGTGTTTTAGTTTTATGGAACCGTATATAAACATAAATAAATACATTTTGTGGTGTTTATCAGTGTTTATTTGTTTCTATCACAGAATAACCAGAATGGACACACGCTGAGCACTCAAAAATCTGTTCAACTTTGTGGAATATCAGTGTATCCATGTATATAATAAAAATGTAAAATTCTTTCTGTCTGGTCACACTGATAAGGGTTTGTTTACTAACTTTCGACATCAGCTGTCCATATATCTGCGATTGTTTACAAAACATCAGTTTGACTTTTGCGCTCTTATTTGAAATTAATATTTTAATTATTTTATTAATTAAGAAATTAAATCAAATTAATCGTAATTTTTGTTTTTTAAATGTATTCGGGAGGAAATAGATGTTGCTTGCTGTACTGCACCAGCATTTCTTCCTCAAAAATTGAAGGAACAAAATTCCATAGATTTCCGAAGGATCTTGCAAGGTAAGCAATATTAATTAGTTATTGGAAGTTAAATCAAAAAGCAAATTCATCAAATGCTATTTTATTTCTATGTGTATTATATTTAATATTATACATATATTTGTTTTAACCAAATTTAGATGTGACGTTTGGATTGAAAAATGTGGTCCAATAAATTTACCTTCTATTGAACCTATAGTTTTGTACAAAAACTATAGAATATGTTCCTTACATTTTGAGGATAAAATGTATATAAATGCTGAAAAGTCAAGGCTCTCAATTAACGCAATACCAACGTTGTTTAAAGGTAAGCATCATTATTCATTGTTTACTTGTATACCTAGTGTACACTGGCTAGCGTTGTGCAAAGCTGGTCACTACCTAATTAGAAAGTAAAAATTAAGTAATTTGTAATTATTATTTTTTTTTAACTAGGTAACATTGTAGAAAATGAAATATCATCCTTACATAATAGTGAAGAATTGATACCGTTAAATAACCAATTTGCAATTGACGACCCTCCATCTTGTTCGACACCTCTTGCTTCTCAATCTTGTTCAATACTACGTATGTTACAGCTTATTTTAAATGTTTCTACTGTATTTGCAGATCAGCCTAATCCTATTATAATAATTAATAATCTATTATTCTTTGTTTTAGGTTCAATCAGTGTTGATTCATATGACGCTTCTACCTCTGTTGAAACATCTTCGTCAAGTGTTCAAACACCAAACTTTTTGTCTTCAGGAACACCACGAAAACGGGTACTTCGACATAGACTTACCAATGCTCTCAACACTGTAACAGAATTAAAAAATCAACTACAACATACAACCACAATTGAATACTGCATGCAAGTTTGTAAACAACACTTACCACCATCAATTTTCTTAATAGTAGAGAATAATTTTCAAAACAAAGACAAGTCACAGCGCGGCCAACGATATTCCAAGCAGATAAAGCAATTTGCACTAACAATTTATTTCATCAGCCCCGGTGTGTTTAATTTTCTTCAAAAATCATTGTCTCTTCCAACTGTTCGGACCTTAAGGAGAGTCACTGAGCAATATGATTTACAACCCGGACTAAATGATTTTCTATTTGACTTCTTAGAATTCAAAATCGGCACCTTTAAACCTGAAGCCTTAGATTGCTTTTTATGTGCAGACGATTTCATGATCTACACTTACCTATGCTGGACAAAAAATGTTATGTTATTAATTTAAAATATACATTTTATAATTCAAATAAAAATTAACTAACACAGAAATTGAAAAATCAGTTATTCACTTTACAGAGTACAGACTTCATATTTTGGAACATAAACACAAAAGACACTGAGGCGAGTAAGCAAGTTGCAAACTTGCAACTTACAACTTTATTACTTATTAGGTTAGGCTAAAGCACGATTATAAAGATTCTTTATAATCGTCGGCTAAAGGTAATTACTAATTGCCTCTGTTCAGGGAATATCAGTCGCGCTAGAAACAAAGAATAATGGGAATTATCTTTCTACCGGCAGCACTGATATTCCACCAGGTGTTGCAAATCTGTGCCCCATAAGAACCCATGTTAAACCAGGGTATAGACACTCTGTGTATTGGCAAAATCGGGTGACTGTGGCCTTGAGCACGGTCTCTAAGGGGGCGTGGCATATGTTATCATTTAAATAAATCATATCAATATTATCAGTCTACAGAATAATAATACAATATATTATTATTATTATTTCATTAACAATAAACCAATGTAAAATTACATTATAGTTTTTAATTTATATTAAAACAAAATACTTATTCATTTTACCAAAATTTAATATTGATATACTTAAAATATGAAAAATAAATTATTTATCCTTATTAATCGTTTATAAAAATTCCGTAACA